GTATCGCAACACATTCAACTCGACCCATTCCGGCAGCATATCGACCGGAAATGCGCTTAGCGTCGCGGGCTCCATGCGGCCCTCATCGTCGTCACGAGCTGGAAACTTTATGCATGGCACCCGGCCGCAGACGTCCGGTGGGTTCAGCGGCATCCCCACCAACCACGGCCGAATCTCAAACAAGTACATGCCGTATGCCCTCCTGGATTTCGACAAGGTCCAGGTCTTTGTCAACTCGGTCGAAGGCAACCCAGAGAACCCCCTATGGGCTGGATCCAACACACAGTACAAGTTCGATGTGTCCAGAGTGTCTGAACTTTCTATCCATCTTTACATCCGAAACCCAGTTGCCACGCCAGGCTCGGGTCGCAGCCAAGATATCTTCCTCGGCGTCGCCCGCATTAACCCCAGGTTTGAGGAGAAGCAACCGTACATCGAGGATCCAAAAGCCAGCAAGAAGGACCGGGAAAAGGCCGCAGCCGAGTTTGCAAGCCGGGAGCGCTCCCTCGGGCAGAGCGGTGTCGACTGGGCCGAGGTCCAGTACGGAACCGGCAAGCTCAAGATCGGCGTCGAGTATGTAGAGAACCGAGCCGGCAAGCTCAAGATTGAGGACTTTGAGCTGCTCAAGGTCGTCGGAAAGGGCAGCTTCGGCAAGGTGATGCAGGTGCGGAAGAAGGACACGAACCGAATCTACGCCCTCAAGACGATCCGAAAGGCGCATATCATCTCGAGGTCCGAAGTTGCACACACGCTCGCCGAGCGGTCGGTCCTCGCGCAGATCAACAACCCCTTTATTGTGCCGCTCAAGTTCACTTTCCAAAGCCCCGAGAAGCTGTACTTTGTCCTCGCCTTCGTCAACGGTGGCGAGCTGTTCCACCACCTGCAGAAGGAGCAGCGCTTCGACGTGAACCGCAGTCGCTTCTATACGGCCGAGCTCCTGTGCGCCCTCGAGTGCCTCCATGGCTTTAACGTCATCTACCGCGACTTGAAGCCCGAGAATATTCTTCTCGACTATCAAGGTCATATCGCCCTCTGCGACTTTGGTCTGTGCAAGCTAGACATGAAGGACGAGGACCGCACCAATACGTTTTGCGGAACACCCGAGTACCTGGCACCCGAGTTGCTGATGGGTAATGGCTACAACAAGACGGTTGACTGGTGGACCCTGGGCGTGCTTCTCTACGAGATGTTGACGGGTCTCCCCCCCTTCTACGACGAGAACACCAATGAGATGTATCGCAAGATTCTTAGCGAGCCGTTGCATTTCCCCGATCAGGACATTGTGCCGCCGGCCGCCAAGGATCTTCTGACCAAGCTGCTCAACCGCGACCCCCAACAACGACTGGGAGCCAATGGTTCGGCCGAGATCAAGGCACATCCCTTCTTCCATGCCATTGATTGGCTCAAGCTCCTGATGCGGAAGTATGATCCCGCATTCAAGCCGAGCGTAGTATGTATATCTTCAATATGATGGCTCGGAACACTGCTAATCTTGGCCGGTAGGTTGATGCGCTTGACACGGCCAACTTTGACCCCGAATTCACGTCTGAGCCCCCTCAAGACTCGTATGTCGAAGGTCCGATCCTGTCGCAGACGATGCAAGACCAGTTTCATGGCTTCAGCTACAACCGGCCCATCGCCGGTCTCGGCGATGCTGGCGGCAGCGTGAAGGACCCGTCGTTTGTGGGGAGCATCCAGGACAGATAGACGGCAAGAGGCGAGATGAGGAAGAGATACGACGGAAACATTGAAGCATCAGGGTTGGCGCAACGAAATATGGAACAGAGCGGAGCCAGCAGGGCCAGGGAAAGAAGAGCAGGCGAAAGGGCGAAGCCGGAGCGGCAGCACAGTCTGGCTTAGATTTTGATTTCGGTTGGGGGGGTGGCGGTGGGTGTGCCCATTCAACAGGCACTGGAATCGTACCACTGGCCCTGGGGGCCTGCGTTTTCACATTGGGAGTTCGGCATGATGATAAGAGAAGTTTTGGTACTTGTGCTGTTGTGCTGCTGTTTTCTTTTTCTGCGGCTGAGAAAAAGGTGTAGAATACGTTTGTCAATTTGATGCGCAGAGGCAGCAAGACAAACAATTACAGATCAACATATTCCGGATCCGCCGGCAGCCAGCCGACTTGTCCTTGTAAGTGGGCGCTGTGAATAGATTGGCTGCTGATAATCTCGCAGTCCTTATCGATTGTGCGATGCGCGATGGGCGATGCGATATGCGGTGCCAGGTTTGATGAGCTCGTTCAACGAGTCTCGATGGGGTTGTTGAGGGTCGAGGCAGTCGACGGAGTTGAGCCCATCTGGGAAGCAGTGGATGCCCTGACTCAGCCGGGCCTGCGAATTGGATAAATGCACGCGGGGTGGGACGAGGGGTTTCATGAAGCCGTCGCCAGGGCGGGGCAGTCGTTGCAGTTGCAGGACAAGTCAGTCCAATGCAGCGCAAGGACGAAAAAGCTGGGAGTCAAGTGGGCGGGATCGGTCGATGTCTGATCATCCCCGTCCTTAGTAAGGAGATGCTTCTGCTGGCTGCTGCTGCTTCGGCTCAGAAGCAGAGAAAGGTTAAAGGCCTCAGATCTGTCACTCACATCTCCGGCAGCCTTTGGCCCCCCCTCCTCCCCATCCTCTTAGATTCTCTCGTGTCCGAACCCCTGAGGGCCATCACCTCTACTCCGCGTACTACCCAGGTAAGCCCTAACCTTGTTCCTGTCCTCGTCCCATCGAAATCCTGGCCGCGGCAGCGACCATCCCAGCTGCCCTGGTCATATGGCGGTGCCGCGGCAGTGGTAGCTGGCAAAAGGCAAACCATGGATGGATCGGAAGCTTTTTGGAGCAGTAGTGGGCGAGTGCGGGGCAGAATGGCACCAAAGGCCGTCACCCCACTTCCGTCATTGTCAGTTGAGGAGAGCGTCTGAAAGCCTGGACAACCACAGCTCCGACTCTATCAATTAGCAAGCTATCTATCCCAAGACTGACCGTATACCCGCAGTAGAACTACCTTCCCCCCCTAAGACGAAAAAGACGCGAGCGCAAACACCTAAAATGGCTCCGGCAAACACCAACCCCGCCTGGGCCGAGCTCCAGGCGCACCACGACACAGTCGGCAACTCGCTTGTGCTCAAAGACGCCTTCAAGTCGGACCCCGAGCGCTTCAACAAGCTGTCTCGCACCTTTGTGCTGCCCGCCACCGTGGCCAGCGATGCTGTCGACACCGACATCCTGTTCGACTTCAGCAAGAACCTCGTTACCGACGAGACCATCGACAAGCTGGTCAAGCTTGCCGAGGAGGCCGGGCTTGAGAAGAAGCGCGATGACATGTTTGCCGGCAAGAAGATCAACTTTACCGAAGACCGTACCGTCTACCACGTCGCCCTCCGCAACGTCGAGAACCTGCCCATGAGCATCGACGGCGTTGACGTTGTCGCTGGCACCAACGACGTGCTCGAGCACATCCGTGTCTTCTCGGAACAGGTTCGTTCCGGTGAATGGAAGGGCTTCACGGGCAAGAGGCTCACAAACATCGTCAACATTGGCATCGGAGGGTCTGACTTGTGAGCCCTCCCAACCCCCCCCCCCCCCCCCCCCCCCCTTTTTCAGGAAACGTGTGGAACTGACTGGCGCTTGCAGGGGCCCCGTTATGGTCACCGAGGCTCTCAAGCACTACGGCGACAAGGACACGACGCTGCACTTTGTTTCAAACATTGACGGCTCCCACATTGCCGAAGCATTGGCCCATTCCGACCCCGAGACGACCCTGTTCCTCATCGCATCCAAGACCTTCACGACGGCCGAGACAATTACCAACGCCAACACAGCCAAGTCGTGGTTCCTTGAGAAGACGGATGGCAAGGGCGATATCGCCAAGCACTTTGTGGCCATGTCGACTAACGAGGCCGAGGTGACCAAGTTCGGCATCGACGCCAAGAACATGTTTGGTTTCGAGAGCTGGGTCGGCGGCCGCTACTCGGTCTGGAGTGCCATCGGCCTCAGCGTGGCCCTCTACATCGGCTACGACAACTTCCGCAAGTTCCACGCCGGCGCCCAGGCCATGGATCAGCACTTTCTCCACACGCCGCTCCGCGAGAACATTCCCGTGCTCGGCGGCCTGCTCAGTGTGTGGTACTCCAACTTCTTCAACGCCCAGACGCACCTGGTGGCCCCCTTTGACCAGTATCTGCACCGCTTCCCGGCCTACCTGCAGCAGCTGTCGATGGAGTCCAACGGCAAGTCGGTCGCCTCGGACGGCAGCCGGACCAAGTACACGACGGGCCCCATCCTCTTCGGCGAGCCGTGCACCAACGCCCAGCACTCCTTTTTCCAGCTAGTTCACCAGGGCACCAAGCTGATCCCGACCGACTTCATCCTCGCGGCCAAGTCGCACAACCCCGTGTCCAACAGCCTGCACCAGAAGATGCTGGCCTCCAACTACCTGGCGCAGGCCGAGGCGCTCATGGTGGGCAAGACGGCCGATGAGGTGCGTGCCGAGGGTGGTGTCGCCGAGGAGCTGGTCCAGCACAAGGTGTTCCTGGGCAACCGCCCCACGACGAGCGTCCTGGTCGGAGGTCACATTGGCCCTGCCGAGCTGGGTGCGCTGATCGTTTACTATGAGCATCTGACGTTTACGGAGGGTGCCGTGTGGGATATCAACAGCTTTGACCAGTGGGGCGTGGAGTTGGGCAAGGTGCTCGCCAAGAAGATCCTCAAGGAGATTGACGAGCCCGGGGCCGGCGAGGGCCACGATGCCAGCACCGGGGGGCTGCTGGGGGCGTTTAAGAAGTATGCTGGGTTTTAGGGGATGTTGGATGAAGGGGTCTTATTAGCCTACCTAGACACTATAATATATGGAACACGAGAATGAAAGTTATGAACCACTATCCATGTGGTGTTAGTGTGACTGGCTCCAAAAAGTTACGACCTCGACTTGGCGTGCATCATGCTGAGCAAGTCAAACATCGTGTGAATCAAACGAGATTGAAATAAAATCAAAAAGAAAGGTTTGTCTGCAGCTTGCATGAATCGAACATGCGTCGTCTCAGAAGTTGTTGAATAACCACAATGAGATATACTAACCACTATACTAAAGCTGCTTCTCAGACGATTTCAGCTGTCTGTTGTGGGTTCAAGTATGCACTGGGTGCATGGTGCCTGGAGCTTGGCCGTGCTGGGTGGGTTCGGGATGTCAGTGTTGCTGGGACTAATAAGGGATGGCCGAAATGCTAAGTGGGGCATCGATTACGATTAATGGATTTCTGAGTCAACTTCCAAGAGGGAGGTCAAGGGGGCGGGATTTATATGTAGACTTGCAGGCTTCGCACTGAGTTCTTGAATTCCGATATGCGTGTCTGACGGCAGATTGGCATGTTGTTCTGTAGAAAATGGCAAAAGTGCTGTCTCAAGAGTCAACAGGGCAATGGTCCACGGAGGCTTCATGCCATTTACTCGGTCTTTGAATTACGACTCAGCAGGTTTGTAATTTACATATTACATTGCTTTTAGTATGGTATTATGCCCGTTGGGAACATACCAGGTCAACTTTTATCAACGGCAACCATGAGGTCGCCCGCTATGAATGATGACACGATGCCCCCGTCCCTCCAACTCCGCCAGCAAACAAAAAAACCACGGGGTATCAAGAGTTGCCACATAATCTTAGTATCCTATAAAGTATACCCGCCACCGAAGCCTTCTCATATCGACCTCGGCGTCTCGTCATCATCGGGCGGCTTTAAAAATGGAAATCAAAGCTTGACAGCAACCGCAATCGGCGGCGGAGGCGACAACCCGCCCATCTCGCGCTCCTCTTCGCGTTCGCGCTCACGCCTCGAGAGGTCCCTCTCATCCGATTTGTGAGGAGAGCTTTGGTTCGACGTCGTCCGCGTCGTCGCGGCAAAGCTCTCACGCTTCGGCTCGGTCTCGGCAGGCCGGTCTCGGAGTGAGATGGTGGGCGACCGGGCTGTCGTGGCGCGGCTGAGATTGTGGTGCTGGCTGCTGCTTTCGATGTCGTGTTGCGGGTGCCGTCTTTTGAACATGGTTCGCCACGTTCGCGCTTTCGACTCGAGACGCTGGGAGCCGGACCGCGGGCGGGATGGGGAGGAGGGGTTGATTGAGGTTACGTAGCTGCGTACGCTGTTGCCGAGGTGGTGGCGGCGGAGGGTGGTGTGCAGCAGGTTCCAGACGCTGTGGGATGTTGGTGAGTTTTTTCTCTTTTTCTTTCACCTTCTGGCCAGGGGACGGGAGACATACCCGAGAAGCCAGAGGAACAGGTAAACCACCGGTCCGGCGAAGCCAGGCGCCATGCCCCAAAATGTGAAGCCGGATGGGAAAACCTGGCCGTGTGCGACGTAGACCATAAAGAGAATGATATACCCGATCCCGTAGATCAACCGCAACAAGAGTGTCCAACTTGGCCACTGCTTCTGCAGCCGGATGAGCGAGACAATGTCAAGCAGTGTGTCCAGGCCCAACATAGCCAGTAACGCTACGGCTAGTCCACTATTGCGCGTTAGTACCGTATCTCTCTGCTTGCGTTGGAGACCAACATACCTCATATGTCCCAACCAATAACCGTCTAGCTGAGTAAGGAAATCAATCATGATAGCTATGAGAATGACACAAGCGGCGCCGTGCAGGCAGCTGTTCATACCCCTGAAAATAAGTGTCTTTGAGCTGTTTCCGATGCCGCTGTTGATGCTGAGACCACGGCCAACACTGGCGTGGTAGCTCTCAGCCGTCCTGAAGCTCGCCGCAGTGTCGTGCTCATACATCGAGTGCGCAGGCGTGTGTGCAGGCGAGTATTCCCCCGTCATCTCCTCTGTAAATCGGGACTGTCGCCGTGGGAGCCCAGGTCTGCCCCCTCGTGACAGGGAGACGGGAGGGACTGTGGTGTTGATGGTGATGGCGGCATGTGTAGCGCCATAACTACTTGTGGCGGCCGTTTGGTCTGCCATGATTATGTGTTGTGAGTGCGCGCACCCGAGCAGCGCGAGACGACGCGATGGATATCGTTGTGTGAATACTGGTGTGATCGATCTCGACGAGAAGAAGCGGGCTCGCCGACGAGATGCGAAAAGGCGAGGCGCATTTGGCTCGGACTCGTACCGCAACAGCCACTACTCGAACGTCGTCCCGATGATATGCGACGTGCAAAAGATGCGACGTGCAAAAGAGGGGAGGAGGGTATTGAAAGAAGTCAAGGACCCCCGTCGAGTATCGCGCAGGGGGTAAGGAGCGAAGGGTCAAGGGCCTATTCCCTTCTCATAGACGCCCAAAACTCGAACAAAAAAAACACCGTTTGCCGAGGATTCATTCAAGTTCAACGAGAGACGACAGATGACCGAGAGCGAAAAGTCACGGCAGACAATACCGGGCGAGGGAGAAAGGTACCGCATTATGTTTATCAGGTGCCGGAAATGACCACGACCTGTGTCTCGTCGAATCGTCTCTAGTCTTGCCTTCGCAGCGGCCCTCGTACCAGCTTGGGTAGCAACCGCCTGCGTGCTAATTCTGCCGAGGCTCAATGGGTAAATAGGATACCACGTCAAGGGTCAACTTGTCGACGCAGGGGTCGTGATGGAGGGGATGCTGTCCAAGCTCCGGGTTGCACATCTCATTAACCCCCCTGCCCTGGTTCCCACGGTTCCTAGTGTCGCCCCTCGAGCCCGCCCCTGAAGTGCCGTTGACGAGAGAAACGGTCGAGGAGCGGCTGACGGCAACAGGATCGAGCTGCTTCATTTGGTGCCTCTCGACCAGTTAGAATTCGACTACGTAATTGCCTACCATCCGCCCTACCGTCTGCTGACGTCCAGGTTTTTGTGTCCGACGCGACCACGCCTGGAATGGGTGCACTGCTCGGCGTTGTCCTCGATGTCGTCCTCGATACCGTCATGGCTCCCGGATTGAGATTGCCTAGATTGCCCTTGGCGGAGATCGCAGCCCTGAGATCAAAAAGCGATCCAAACAGTCGCCCTGAGACGCCAAGAAGCCGGTGCGCAAGCTGGTGTGGCGTGCTAGGGCGGCCCCTTAGACGTTAGATGCCGTTGGATGCCGTCAGATGCTTACTTATCCGGGGAAACCCAAACCAAAACCGGGGTAGAGCCAGACGCCTCCTGTCTGTCCGGCAGACTCGAGCGCATTCTAACGGTCACGCAGGATGCATATCGCGGCCCCATAAATAGATAGACGGCCATTCTTTTAGAGTCTCGCGACGAGATGAAGCTCCAACACGTGTGTCAGGGATAATCCATGCTTGAAACGGCTTTGAGGGCGCCCCGCGCGCGCCACGAGTCCTGGGCACAAAGCTTCAATCCGCCTTCACGCCTCCACGCTTCCACGAAACTAATAGCCCCCGCGAGTCAAGACACTGGCTCAGATTTGCCTTTTAACCTCATTGCCAATACGATGCAGCCCAGCGGCTGGGCAGGCGAGGGCTTCAGCCACTCAAATGAGCAGCCAAAACCACAACTACCAACCCAACACGTCTGGTCTGTCGCGACCGTGGCTCAGAAGTATCTGTTGCTATCATCACCGCCAAATGTCTGCTTTGGTTTCGCGGGGTCGCAGTCTGTGATTTACCTGCTTCAGGATAGCAGAGTCGTTCCCTTGACCCGACCGCTTTCCATCTTGGCTGTCCTCGAGCCAAACTGTATCTGCAAGGGCATCAGCAACTGGTGGATAAAACGGCATGCTAGAGTTGTACTCACTGCTCTTTTCTTTTCCTTGGCTACGCCTCGCATACCCAGCTCGAGAGCCAAAAGCCGCAACACCCTCTTCCCGGCTTCAACACCTGTGACGTCCTCTCCGTTCCCAAAGTCGCACTTTTCCCACGCTGGCGTTTCGATGGCCCATCTTACCAGACGCTCATCAAGAAAGGGAAACCGCACTTCCTTACCCCAATGTGACATTGCTCGGTCATCCCTACCAAGATTTCTCTTCCCCAGCCGGCCGACATCAAGCAGCAGTTCATCGACTAGTCCCGGGTAGCCCTGACGCGAGAATGCGGTAGCATGCCGCACATATCCACCAAAAAGCTCGTCGGCGCCGAGACCAGAGAGAAGAACACGCGCCGAAGACGTATGGGGCTCTTGTGGCGAGTCCCGACCAGAGCTAGGAGATGAGCAGCTCCCTTGACCCCGAGCCGCAAAGTACAGTGCGTACGCGATCGAGAGGTCCATCTCAGTGTTGTGAGGGTATATCAACGAAGTGACTTGGCGGCGATGCGCCAGCGTCTCCGAGTAGGGAACATTGACCTTGGCCATGTTAGTGCGGAACCAGGCCCCAATGATGGGAAGTGAGACAAACCGCCAGGAAGCAAAAGGCTCGCCCAGGACAGACCCTTTCCAGCTCCGCAAATGACTTCCTCCCTGTAATCCGATCTGGACAAGCCTCATAGAAGTCAATTGGCTCATCACCCTTGGCCTCCTTCTCTAGCTGAGCTACCACCCGGGGGTTCTCAAAGGCGACATTGATAAGGTCAACCGCCTGATCGGGCTCGAGTAGGTCGTGGACCAATCTCGCCAAGACTGTGCAGTCTAGTCCGCCCGAAAAAAGCATTGCGACGCGAGTTTCGCCCGCACTAGTAGATGGCGGCTGTGGGATGCCGAGAACCCGAGGGCGAAGGGAGTCAAGCAGCTGTTGCTTTAGCATGCCCACCGAGGGTGATAATGCTGTCAGGGCCGAGTTGGCAGAGGGAAGAGACTTGTTGAATGTACCAATGCTAGATATCTAATAGAGTGAGTTCGACAGAAAGCCTACCTTGGTCGAACAAATGAAGAGCTTTTGCGCGGGTTTGTACTCACAAAGTCGGCTTGATCACTGGACAGCCACTCGTGTTTGGCCCGTTCGTGTGTCGCTGGAATGGCATGCTGTTGGAGCTGAGCCAAGTTCAAGATATAGATACCGTCGGCTTCGACCTCTTTCCAGCTTGGATCAGAGGCCTCGGCGATGCTGCACAAAGCCAATGTGCCAGATGCTTCATCATGAGTGAACAGGAGCGAACGGCGCCCAAGACGATCCCGCCCAAAGATAAGTCTTTCCGCTGGCTTGTCGTAGTAGACAAATGCAAATGGCCCTTCAACAGACCGGAAGACGT